CTGATCTCTTCTTCCTGGGATCCAGTGACAGAACGCATGGGAATGGCTCAAAGCTGCGCCGGGAAGGTTTAGGCTGGACATGAGGAAGCGTTTCTTTACTGAGAGTGTGGTCAAACACTGGAACAGGCTCCCTAGAGAGGTGGTTGATGCCCCAAGCCTGTCAGTGTTTCAGAGGCCCCTGGCCAATGCCCTCAGTAACACGCCTTAGGCTTTGGTCAGCCCTGAAGTGGTCAGGCAGCTGGACCAGATGATCAGTGTAGGACCCTTCCAACTGAAATAGTCTATTCTATTCCATTCCACTTACTTATACTGCTCTTGTCTAAGAGGAAAAACCAGAAGATTCCTGCAAGGGCTGCTGCAGGCCTCAAAGGCTGAGGACATATCCTTCTTCTAATCTCAGCACTTAATGGATCCCTCTCCTTCAAGGCAGAATTTAAATATGTATCCTGTTTAAAGAAACTGTCACACAGGACACTGGTTGCCTTGGATATTTCTGTCTCACTGATCTGTTTTTGAACAGTACATCAGTGCTTGGTATCACTTTTCATACAACAACATCACTTAATGCCTCACAGTATCTTTGGTTTAGAATGCTGTATAAGATTTTTTTAAAAACAAACAAACAAAACAATAACCGTCATTTACTGACCACCCACAGGTCTTAATAACACCAAAACACATTTGTGAAGTGAAATCAGAATGTTTGCTGAGATCCGAAAAAGTCATTCTCAGGATTTGCAAAATCCTTCAAAACCTTTGCTGCAGAGTTCACTTTCAAGGGCTGGGGTTGAAAATCTCTCCTAAAAGGTTGCATGCACTGCATATGCATGCAGAATTTTATTCACCTGCATAGGATTTAGATCTAGCTGATCCCACTGAAAGACTTTTAAAGACTGAAAACATAATTGGTACCCATCTGCAATAATAAAAATTACACTTCCCAGGCACTCTTTGATTTCAGTAGCAGATGGCATGCAGCCACCTCTGAGAGACACTGTTTTATGACTGTGAATGACTTGCAGTGAGTCTTGATAAATGAGCACTTGATCTGATCACCAGCCTGCTTTAAAGGGAGCTTTCCAAAAAAATGACTTGCAGCTATCACTTACTGTGACTGATTTCTGTTCCAAATCTATTCCTCCAGCAACACTAAATCCCAGGCCAGCTCCTTCTTCTTTGTGCAAGACTACAAAGTATGTGTCTTCTTTGCTCTAGCAGGAAAACGGAGGTGGAGGGGAAAGGGAAGGAGAAGAAAAACAAAACCAAAGATCAACACAAAGTTCCCACAGAAATTACAAACTCCCACTACCCTCCAATTATGGCGGGTGAAAAAAGCAATTCAAGGAATTAAAACAGAGACATTAAACACATTTATTTTCATGCTAGAGATCAGTAGCAGCCAGATAAGAGAACTCACGTGACATTAAGGATTTCTTCAGTCAGTCCAAGACTAAAAAGCAAAGTCAAAATTAGGATAGTGGAAGGGTATTAAACCTCGAGCAGCCTAATTTTCACATGCTGTAATCAACTGCGTTGCTCAACATTTTGCAGCCAAAACTCAATAGCTCCCATACACCTTTCTAGACCTGTACTTTCCAGGGAATTACTAACACCTTTGTTATCCCACTTCTCCTTCCTCTTAAAAGGCAGTTACAAAAATGTAATGCAGGGCAGTTGCATCAACCTCTCCTCAGCAGTGCTGGACAATCTTGCAAGGGGCAGTGGCTACAAATTGAAGCTTGGGAAGGTTAAATGGGACAGCAGGAAAAACTGTTTCACTTGGGAGATGAAAATAAGGAGCCTATTAGTGATCCAAACAGGACTAAGCTGTGCTGTTGTGGAAATCGGAGCATCTAGCACAGGAAAAGGATATGTCCACGTCTGCACCAGGGCTGAACTTGGCTCCAGACCAGCACAAAGGTCTAAAGCTGACTTCTTCGAAGTGATGGCCTGCTGCCAAAATACAGAATTTGCCATGAGAGAGTAGTCGCCCCATCCAGCAAGTCTGGTGCTGTCTCCTGAACAGTTATTAGGACAAAACCAGACGCTGTTACACAGACCACATTTTGTGGTGTAAGGAGGACTGTAAGCAGCCATTTGGTGGAGCAAGGGGACAGTAACTGTGGGGCAGAGCATCAGAAGTCAGGGGCAGAGCATCAGAAGTCAGGAGTAGAAAACAGGTCTCAGTTTTTCGCTGGGATCCCATCCAACGTAAGTTATTTCCAGAAACTGCCAGCGCTAAAATTAATGGCACATCATTAGAAACCAACCTCTTAATCTATTTAGTGTTAAATGACGTATTTAGTTCACTAAACCCAACATTTTAACTCAGCATTTGCCTTTTAATTTTTTTTTTCAAAAAGCACAGGGAACCACAGATCATTATCAGGTTTTGGTGAAACAACAGTCAAATTCTTGGTCTCACTGTGTGCTTTTTTGCCAAATAGTGGCCCTGGAAGATTTTCTGCCTTAGAGGCATCCCTGCAATACACACAGCCAAAGTTAGAAACTAATGCTACTCTGTTCCACATGACTGATCCATCAGTGCCCAAGGACAAAGGAGTAGTCAGGGCTGAACATCTTACTCCACAGTCTTTTGTAGATGTTAAGACCCTTCTGACACGTACTCAAGTGAGAACAGCTTTATGTTAGGCCAGAAATAAAAAATCAGTTAAGTATCTAGGCTAGACCCTTTGAAAGTGCAGTGAGCGTAATGGAAACATACACATATCTTTGACAGTTAAGTACTATAGCAACCCTTTTTGTTTAAGAGGTCAAGTTCTTTCCAACCCTTGCTACCACAACTTAATTTTCTTAAACGGGGAAAGAAAAAAAAAAAAAAAATCAGAGGCTCAGATGTTAGGGGTTTTGTGAGGACCACACGTCCTAGGCCAGGCAGCAACACAGTCAGAACCCTGGCTTCCCATTGCTGAGGTCATGCATTTACTCCCTCCCCAGCTCTCAATGCTGTCCTCGGCCAGCACATGTACTACGGGGCAGAGAGATCTGGCTACGGAAGCTTATTGCCTCACTTGGCCACACAGTGGCAATGCAAGGCCTCCAGTTATCACCTCTGTTTAGCCCGTTAGCCAGAGATCATTTGGCATAGAGATTTAAACAACAAAATGCCCACATATTTATTTTTTTTATTTTAGTAGTCCTTACTAAATGCTAGCAGTAAATTCAGCACTGTTCAGAGCAAAAGATGATGACAAACTCTTCCCAGGGAAGCTCTCAGCCTGAATCAGGCAGTCTATTTCATCTTTCAGCAATTGCATAACTATGGAGAACTGTCCTATTGTATATTTAAATCTAGCATTTGACTAGCATAAAATTTTCCAGTGTACGTGCCATACTGGGCTTAAATATGGATAAGAAACTATGCAGACAAGGAGTGCACTCCAAAAAGCATTCAGCCTTATAAATATTTGAGTTCTCAGGCTTTGAAAAGTCGCATAAATAAATAATCTCTCCAAGCCCCCATGCAAAATACTTTTAAGAACACTTAATTACCTTCAGCCAGAAGCACAATCCAATCCTAATTTTACCAGTAAACCTACCAAACCCTCATGGTTCACCAAGCTCTTGGGACTCGCAAGCCCTAGCTAGGCTGTCCCTGGAAGGAGGCAAAGACAGGTATTTTGCTTAAGTCCCATTCCCCCCAGCCTGTTCTACATTTGAAATAGCAGCCTTTTTGAATAAGACTCGGGAACGCTCTAAATGCAGCTCAGCCAGCAGTTACGCAGACCAGATGGCAGTTTCCCCACCAATGCTGTCATTATTTTATCAACTTCTGTTCTGATTTAAAAAGGATGTGGATGTATCCCACAAACACAAACAAGGAAGTAATGTTCTGGTAGCCATTTCACTTTGGAGGACTTCTTTAAACAGTTTGAAAATCATGGAATCATAGAATAGTTTGCGTTGGAAGGGACCTTTAAAGGCCGTCTAGTCCAATGCCCCTGCAGTGAGCAAGGACACCTTCAGCTCGATCAGGTTGCTCAGAGCCCCATCCAATCCGACCTCGAATGTTCTACCACCTCTCTGGGCAATCTGCTCCAGTGTTTCACCAACCTAATTGTAAAAAATTTCTTCCTTACATCTAGTCTAAATCTGCCCTCTTTTAGTTTAAAACTATTACTCCTTGTCCTATCACAACAGTCCCTGCCAAGAAAATTGCCTCCATCTTTCTTATAGGCCCCCTTTAAGTACTGAGAGGCTGCTAGAACGTCTCCCTGGAATCTTCTCTTCTCCAGGCTGAACAACCCCAACTCTCTCAACCTCACAGGAGAGGTGTTCCAGTACTCTGATAATTTTTGTGCCACTCCTCTGGTCTTGCTCCAACAGGTCTGTGTCTTTCTTGTGCTGCATGAATAATGAATTGATAATGAAGCAAGGTATCTTAATGCAACAACCAGTTTCCAAAGAAGAGAACAAAAAGGTCACAGTAGACTCCTACAAACCATCCAGCAGCGGTCTTCTGGTGTTGCAAGCCACCAGTTCAGCATTAAACAAAATAAATTAAATTTCCGTGATTGCAGCTTCCAGCAAAAGGCAGATGCTTCCAGGCACAGAGAGGAGCAGAGCTTCCCTTGCGTGGCTGGGGAAGTGCGTCTGACCCAGACGGGTGGTCCAAAGTTAAATTCTGATGTGCAATTATTGGCAAACCCAGGGGTTTCTCAGCTGTAATAATGACTCAAATAGAGGCATACAACTCCACTTAAAATAGGTCTATTTATTGTGGCTCAAACCTGCTTTTGCATCAGTCAAACAATATTACTTATACAAAAGCCATTCAAACTTATTATGGGTCTGTAACAGGCATGCAAATACCATCATTAGTAAAACTACCATCAACTGTAACCTACCACAGGACTACTGGAGGAGGTCTGAAACTGTTCGGGAGAGATTTTTATTTGCCATTAATAAAACCTTTAAAAATACCACCAATAATATAGTTTTATCTTCTGGTTTTTACCTTTACTTGTGCTTTGACTTCTTGCAGCATAGTAGCAACGTCACATTTTGTTACTACTCCTGACAAAACAGATTGCAGCTTTTGCTGGTCCAGGGTTGAGACAAGCAGCTGATCCAAGCTAAAATGAACAGAAAAATATAAAAAGACAGCTTTGTATTTCTAGACCATGTAGAGATGTATTTCAGGTATACAATGGAGATTGCATTAGGGTAAATGATTAAGGGCCAGCTCATTAACAAGCAGAAATCTTGAAAACAGGTAAGAAATGGTGTATGCTGGGAGAATGGGAAGGGGCAGAGAAGGCATCTCAAAAAATCAGTCCCCTGTTCTGTTCTCCTCCTCCTTCCCCAATGATTTTAGCAACAGACATTAACAAAACCAAGGAGACAACTACATCTGAAGACTGCTTCTGGCAGGACAAGTTCATTTGTCACTGCAGGCTGTGCTGGCAGCCAGCGCTGTGCAGCCTCCCCTCCATAGCGGCTGCTGTGCCATAACGTGGCCAAAAACTGATCAAAACTAGCTACAAGGGACACAGAAAAAGAGCCTGGCCCTGACAGAATGAAGTGTTTCACCCTGTACTGAAGCACAGCCACCACCAGACAGCAGCATGGCAGCTCCGAGTGATCAAGAGCACGAAGAAGAGCACCCCAGATCGTGAAGGGAACAGGGGCTGGGGCCAAAGCTGCAACATGCTTTGGGGTTGACTCGGGGCAATGGGGAAGCTTCACTTTGGGAGAAGCTTGTGGGGAATGAAAGTGAAACAGTGGTAACAAAGCCAATACCAACCTGATGGACCAGCTGTTTTCTGAGCGCTCCCCATCCAGACAGCTGCCAGGGGGCGCGTCATCATCAGAGGCAGACCCCGATGTCCCTGAGCCGCTGTCCCGAGGGCTGCTGGCACCTGTTCCCATCCCACTCGCCTCAGCGGGCCCGCAGCAGGCCGGCGGGGCTGCGTCACTCCGGGCAGGCACGCCGAGGGCTCTGCGGGGCGTGATTT